TGCAGCTCCTTGGCAACCTTGACCATCCCTGACTCGGTGACCCACATTGGGGATCGTGCCTTTCTGGGTTGCAGCTCTTTGGCGAGCTTGACCATCCCGGACTCAGTGACCCACATTGAGCAGAGTACCTTTTGTCGTTGCAGCTCCTTGGCAAACTTGACCATCCCAGACTCCGTGACCTACATTGGCAATCATGCCTTTGTGGGTTGCAGCTCTTTGGTGAACTTGGCCATCCCAGACTCTGTGACTCACATCGGGAATGCTGCCTTTCGGAATTGCACCTCTTTAGCAAATGTGACCATCCCAGACTCAGTGACCCACATTGGGATCTGTGCCTTTGAGGGTTGCACTTTGCTTGTGGGGACAAGAGCTCTTAATGCTTGACAAACTTGACCTTCCCAGACTTGGCTCTGCCCACATTGGGTTTTCTGTCTTTGGCTCTTGCTTTGTGACCTCCTGACGGTGTCCCACGTGTCGGGTCTTGCGTCCGGCGAGCTCCCGAGAGAGGCGGAGGAAGTGGACCACGGTGCACAAAAAGAAGGTGTGCTCTTCACGGGCACCACATCCAGTTGTAGCGAACCTGAGATGCCGGGTGGGTTTGGAGATGTGGTTGGAGGGTCCAAATGCCTTTTGAGGATGTACCTCAGACAATGGAAAGTACCTGTTTGTTCGGGTCATGTCCCATTTTCCAGGACACTTGAAGTCGGGTCCAGGTAGTCATTTCTGGTTGAACGCTCACCATTCTCATTGCAAGACTTCTAGAGTCAACTTGGATCTATTTTGCAAGACGCCAAGCTTTTTGGTAGTGTCGAAATAATTTTCGTTTGAACTTTTCTCGTCTCGATGGAGGTGTGGCATGGATGTTCATGTAGTGAAACGACGTTTTGACATGCTGTTCACATGTGAACCATGTCCTGACACTCCATGGAACTGCTGGTATATTTGCCCTCATTCACCCCATTCTAAACACCCAACATATGCGAGTTCCATGGATGGTTTGGGATGACCAGTGCTTTATTGCCCAGAGGCGACCCTGGACCCTCAAACTGCTACACCCAAAACCCTGGTTGTGAGGGTCCTTTCACCCCATAGCGACCTGAGGGTCCTGCCACTGAGCCTTTGGTTCGAACATCCTCCAAAGTGACCCGAACATCCTCCATCTCCAATCTGCCCAACTGGTGCAGATCGATCTTCTGGGAACAGGACATGACGTATCGATCAATCGACCTGATAGATTCCAGCTGGGGAAGCTATTGACCATGAATGGACCGGAATTCTCTTGTTTGAGATAAACATCAGTGTATTGAGCACCGAACCGGTTCGTGGATATACGCGATATGAGTTGCTGACCCGCAACATTTCGACGCAGATCCGGTCTCAGCGGTTTCGATCGGTTTCTGGGACCGGTTCCGGGTGCGAACGTGTTGAGGAGAGGTTGAGAGGTCGCTTCACGTTCGGACCCTGGTCTGTGGTACATACGGGATGGGCGACCAGACAGGGCTCTTCAACCTCTCTGGTACGTGTTGAGGATCATTGGATTTCCAGAGCTCCAGAGCTCCATATCTTCTCACACCACTCTGATCAGATCGTGTGACTGGACTGGTGTCCGAATCACCCGCCCAGCGAAGAAGCCAAAACATGTGTGCATGATCATGGACTGCTGTTCCAGGCTAGCCAACAAGCAATCAGGCAAACATAGGTAAACTAAGCCAAATCCGCGTAGTCTGAGCCATGGGTGCCAAGTGGACAAAAGTTTCAGCGCGACAGCCGAATGGTGACGTCATAGTTCTTGAAGTCACGCCAAAGACGACAGGCCGGGCACTCAAGCGCCAGATCAAGGAAAGCAAGCCTTGGGACGAGCTCACTCGCAGCACTACAGTTGTAGAGATTATCGTGGGAGGCAACCGATTGCTGGCCAATGATGCAAAGGTATTGGAAGCCGGAATTGCTGAAGATACTGTTGTGAGTGTTGTCTTCAAACAAAATGTCGTGATATGCTCCGACAAAGATGCGATCGCCAGTCTTGGCGGCATTGTTGACTCTGAACTGCTGCTTGTGGTTGAAATTCCAGACACTGAAACACAGATTTGTGAAAGCGCTTTTGTCGGTTGCGACACAGTGGCCAAGGTGATCATTCCCGACTCAGTGACCCACATCGGGAATCAGGCTTTTTTTTTTTTGCAGTTTTTTGGTAGACATGACCATCCCCAATTCTGTGACCCACATTGGGGATCGTGCTTTTCAATACTGCAATTCTTTGGCAAACTTGACCATCCCGGACTCCGTGACCCACATTGGGGATGGTGCCTTTGATGGTTGCAGCTCCTTGGCAACCTTGACCATCCCTGACTCAGTGACCCACATTGGCCATTTCGCCTTTCACGGTTGCAGCTCTTTGGTGAGCTTGACCATCCCGAACTCTGTGACCCACATTGGGGACTGTGCCTTTGCAGATTGCAGCTCTTTGCAGTGCTTGACCATCCCAAACTCAGTGACCCACATCGGAGTGAGTGCCTTTGCAGGTTGCACCTCTTGGACAGACTTGACCATCCCAGACTCCGTGACCCACATTGGGAATTATGCCTTTACGTCTTGCGGTTCTTTGGTAAACTTGACAATCCCAAACTCAGTGACTCACATTGGGAATAGTTCCTTTGCAGCATGCAGTGGTTTGGTGAGCTTGACAATTCCAGACTCAGTAACCCACATTGGGAATCATGCCTTTGCGGGTTGCCATGCTTTGTCGAGCTTGACCATACCAGACTCAGTTGCCCACGTCGGATATTTTGCCTTTGGGAATTGCTGGTCTTTGCCTTCGGCGACAGTTGACACTGTCCATCTCTGGGACTAATCCAAGCCTATCAGAATCATTTTGCTCAGCACTTGGTTCCCATTCTTCGCATTTTGCTCAAGGTGGTTCCTCCTGAGAAGATGTTCCTGGCGCTCCGTTCGACCAGTTGGAGTTTCTAGTGAAGATTATTTAAAAGCATTTGCGGTTGGAATCCCATTGGAACTTCGAGACCGTTCCAGTTTCCACCTCTGGTCGTTTCCTCCGCTTCCTCCCTTCTCATCCGACGCGCGCTCTGCGACCGAGACGCAGTCATCAGAGGTGTAGGGGTGGATGAAAGTGGTAGAGCGATGAGCCTGGAATTTGTGACGTCAGAGTTGAAAACTGGCTGCAAAGACATGTTCGGTATACCCTTAGTTTGGGCTCTGTCATATTGACTCTTGGAAGTGCACATACTTTGTAGTGGGAATTAACTCCCCTAAAATTGTTATCTCCCCAGAATCCTGGAGTCGACCTAGGCCTGTGACAGCGAGGGAACTGCTGCCCATCAATCCATCAGGAAGGGGTCGGGTGACCTGTGTGACTCTTCCTAAAGCAACTTGCAAAGTCAGTATACCTGGAGTCGACCTGTGAGTTCGTACCTCAGAGTCAGGAAAGTACCTGGTACTTCGGAGGGTTAGTAGGAGAACGGAATGCTCGTTTTTTGGGATGCTCCCGACCATGGGCCTGGGTGACCGGGCGTTGAACGTGATGTCGCTGTTTATGTCTGGTGAAACACCATGGCCAACCTTTCTCATTGCAAGACTTTCTCTATGAGTCCACTTGGATCCATTTTGCACAGATGCCCAGTTTTTGTAGCCCTTCTTCTTGGTTCGCACTTTTCCCGACTTGATGGAGGTGTGGCATGTTCATGTAGTGAAACGACTTGTCGACAAATACGATGCTGACTCAACATGCATATAATATATTCATTCTGACGTGTATATGTACATGATTGTACATTCACCTCTTTTCAACCACCCCAATGTCAATCTGCTTCATCCCATGGTTTGGGATGACCAGTACTTAGATCTGACGTCACTCGTTTCTTCGCGAAACCACGCGTTTCCCGCCCGTTGCCTCTCATCGATCGGACATGAGGACTCCTCGATCCGACACGTCGAGTGGACGGTGGTGGTGGAGATCAAGGGGATGAATTGAAGCCCTAGGCTTCCAACAACCATGAATTTAATAGGCTTTACCCAATCAACTAAGGATTTTACAATACAAAAACCAGGTCAACCATTGTTTTAATGGTCTTTGACTCCCAGGGGAAGAAAAAGGTAACGCCCAGACGCTCCGTCGTTCACAACGCCCTTTCCCGGTCCCTCAAAACCGGATTGGTGAGAAACCCAGACCCCTGACCCGAGGATTCGGGTCCGCCTTTCCATATGAGGGCCCAGGGTCGCGTCTGGGCGGATAAAAGTATTCAACGGGGTCTTTTATTCAAAAAGGAGAGCAAACTTGAGAAAGGAGACATTACCAGAAGTGACTAAAGGGGTGGTTTGGCTCGTCCCATCCAGTGAGTGGATAATGAATGGGCACCCCGACTTGCTCCAAGTTCGGTACCCCGTCTTGTGACTTAACACAACTTGTGCTTATTGGAGGATGGGGTGACTCCTGTAAAACTCCTTATCGTACAACTAAGGGTTCTTTGGTTCTTTGAAGTAGACCATAAAGACTAATGGCTCTTTGAATCCTAGGGCTTACATATCTCTCGCCCCCAATCCGCCGGGATAGACGGGTCAAACTGGACGACCGTCGCTCAAGCCGAGACGAGACGAGTCGTGTCTACCGGTCGGCGCCCGTCCGTTCCTGCCGCGACAACTCGGGCGATCGGAATGGCGAAACGTGTTTCGTTCTCTTTTTTTTTCCGAAGCTACCCATACCCTAGGGAGTCAAAGACTCGACTATAAAAAGAATGGTCTGACGAGTTCGGGGACCTGAGTGAAAGGGAACTTCCTGAAACCTTCAACCGGTCAAAATATAGTCGAACTGGACTTCTAGGGCATACCCTAGGGATCCAGTCTTGGAGACACTGCTATGTAGGTGGTTTGGAGGGTCCAAGTACCTTCTGAGAAGGCACTTGGATCCCTAGGTACTAGGGATACTGGAAAACAGTGAGAGGTGCATGAACAAAATATATTACCATCCGTGCAACATATGTTTGCCTTTCGTTCAGACATGGCAGACATGTCGTGGCTTTCGATCGGTCGAACGCCACGCCGAATCGCTGTTGGTTCAGTGTCGCGCGACGAAGCTGGCGGGGTCACCTGCGAGAACCGGGTGGGTCCTTATATCCACCCCTATAGGCTCCAGTCGCACCGAACCTCAGGTTCGGTAGCTCCTGGACCCGACGGAACATGGCACCCGGACCCCCCAGTCCCATCGAACCTTCAGGTTCGGTAGCTCCTGGAGCCCTAGGGCACTGAACCCCATAAGGATCCACTGCCACCCTACCGGTGATGTGTGAGAAGACTGCAGGATGTTGGTGGGTTTGCAGTGGTTCCAGTCGTACCGAACCTGAGATCCCTAGGTGAAGGGCTCCAGTCGTACCGAACCTGAAAACGTGTTTGGGGTGAGGGTCCAGTCATACCTTCTGCCCAAAGGTCATTGGACCCTCACAACCAGACATTTTGGACCCTCGCAACCAGATACTGTATTTTAGATCTCCAACATGCATAGCAGTTGGTTCGGGTCCAGGCTCGCCTCTGGGTGAGCTACGACTGGAGCCCTATAGGTACGACTGGCGCTGAGCCGGTTTGGTTGACCATGTGGTCCCTGCCTCTTGACCGGCTGGTCCGGGAGAAACCGGACACCAGTGGGTCAGACGGTCCGGATTTGCTTTTCTCGCAGCACTCTGATCAGATCTCAGCACATGTGACTGGACTGGTGTCGGATTCACCCGCCCAGCGAAGAAGAAACATACCATTGAGTGCATGATCATGGCTGCTCGTCAAGGCTAGCCAACAAGAAGTCAAAGCCTCATTCCGTCATCATTATTGAGCCATGGCAGCAACAATTTCGGTGCTGCTTCCAAGTGGTGAAGCCCTGGTTCTTGAAGTCACGCCAGAGACGACAGGCCGGGCACTCAAGCGCCAGATCAAGGAAGGCAAGCCTTGGGACGAGCTCACTCGCAGCAATACAGTTGTAGAAATTGTCGTGGGAGGCAACCGATTGCTGGCCAATGATGCAAAGGTATTGGAAGCTGGAATTGCTGAAGATCCTGTTGTGAGTGTGGTCTTCAAACCAAACAAAGTGATATGCTCCAACAAAGATGCGATCGCCAGTCTTGGCGGCATCGTTGACTCCGAACTGCTGCTTGTGGTCGAAATTCCAGACACTGAAGCACAGATTTGTGAATGCGCTTTTGACAGTTGCAACACATTGGCCAAAGTGGTCATCCCAAACTCAGTGACCCACATTGGGATCGATGCCTTTCGTGGTTGCATCTCTTTAGTGAACTTGACTATCCCAGACTCTGTAACCCACATTGGAAATGATGCCTTTGCCTTTTGCACCTCTGTGACAAACTTGACCATCCCAGACTCCGTAATCCATATTGGGAATGGTGCCTTTTGTCATTGCATCTCTTTGGCAAGCTTGACCATCTCAGCCTCAGTGACCCGCATTGGGGACGGTGCCTTTGATGGTTGCAGCTCTTTGGCGCGCTTGACCATCCCAAACTCAGTGACCCACATTGGGAATCGTGCCTTTCGTCGTTGCACGTCTTTGGCGAGCTTGACAATCTCCAACTCAGTGGCAGACATTGGGAGCTCTTCCTTTGCTGATTGCAGCTCTTTGGCAAACTTGACCATCCCAAACTCCGTGACCTACATTGGGGATTGTGCCTTTCGTGGTTGCAGCTCTTTGGTAAGCTTGACCATCCCGAACTCTGTGGCCGAAATTGATTTTTATGCCTTTTTACCCAGACGCTCATGGGCCCTCATATGGAGGGGTCGGACCCTCATATGGAGGGGTCAGGGGTCTCAAATACTTAGCGTTTTGAGAGACCAAGGGCTGTTTGGAGCGTCTGGGTAAATGGCATTCATTTGACGAGTGTACAAATCCCGGACTGTGTAGTTCACATTGACCCGTCTGCCTTTGGGGGTTGCGGCCGTCTAAAGCATCGGCCGACTAGTCGAATGTCCAGCTTGGGACGACCGTACTAGTCGAGTGACGACCGGCTTAGGAGAGTGAAGGTGTTTTCAGGCAAAGTCCTGGATCTTGCAAAAGCAAGAGAGGTTAAGTGACCTGAACTAGGACCTTACTGGGGTACCGAACTGGGATAGTCTATAGGGTTCTTCAACCTCTGTTGGAAGCTATCCTTGGGTTTTTTTGTTGCATAGTCCTGGACCAGTCCTGAACGCATCTCAGTTGGTATGGCGCCTGGGCCCATCCAGCCACACTCAGATAGGATGGTAGGTGGTTCCAATGGACCCTGCCTTTTGCCGAGCCGAGCCCGTGCAACGCACGCGGCGGTGAAACCGGGCGCAGAGGACGTGGGAGGTGGAGGGACATGGCAACAGAGCTTGGGGGTTGCTGAAAGTAACTCGATCTTTATATAAACCTGGATCGAAACCAACGGCATGCCCAGCTTTTCGGCCGAACGAGCGGCTGATGATGGAAAAGGCAGAAAGTGGTCACATGTTGGGAGATCCAGGTATATTCTCTGGGTTTGGGTTGAAGCGAGTATCGTATCCCTTCAGGTTCTTGCATGCAGGGTTACAGGATGTTGCAGGGCAAGATCTGGTTGGTCAAAAGAAACACCTCCCCTGATGAGGAGGCCAATCTCCTATACCTGGATCTTCCAACTATGTGAACATGTTTGCCTTTTCATCCATCAAACCGGCCATGCTTGGCAGACATCTCGGAAAATGTTTGCCTTTCCAACCAGACATGTTCAGTAGACGCGTTTCAAAATGCTTGCCTTTTCATCCATCAAACCATCGTGCACCATCCATCGTGCACCATCGTTACTCGTGCAGCTCGGTTCTGTGCTTTGCATCGTACCATGGCCTGGCTCACCTCCTTCCGTCGCCGCTTTTGGATGTTTCACCCCGACCCGAGGCTTTTGGGCGTCCAGATATATGATTCCCCCCCTATCGGATCGAATCATTTGCAAAGAAATATAGCTGGGTATGGCTAATAGGTGGTGGTTTCAGAGATTTTTGTAGTTTCAACCATGACTTGAAATGATTGATCAATGATACCACTGACTCAGTTTGTAAAAACAATAGGTTATACGAATCCCAGACGCGAAGTCCAGACCTTCAAATCGAGAGGTCTGGGATCTCAAATGGCTATAGGTTTTGAGGGACCGGTCGGGGCGGTTTTCACGGAGCCTCCTGGCATATACAGATCAGACGACTCCTCGTCTCTCACGCAGCTGAGCGAATTCCCGTCACCCGGCGTCCTTCGATCGACTCCCCTCTCTCGCGCTGTGACCCGCCGTACGTCGGACGCGACGTGTGTGGCGCCCTGCGACGCGACGTCTCTTCTTCGCCCAGGCGCTGAGCAGCTCCGCGAGCTCTTGAACAAGATGGAAGAGAGCCTCGAGGCCGAACGCCTCGCCGCCTGAAGCGATCTCGCCATTTCGCCGAACGCCTCGCGTCGCGTCGCACGGGATTTGGAGCGGAACCGTTTGGAACATGTTTGAAGCCTTATAGCTCATTGTGCTGTAAGTTGCAGAAGCAGCAAAAGGACTGTTTTCTAGATAGTCATGGAAGGCTCTCTGTCGTGCATGGTGAAACGATTTTGGGGGTGTATTCTGATGGCTGTAATCTTCCAACTCCAGGGATCTGACGATTTGAAAACGAACGGCGACCCGCACATGACATGGAATCACATGAAATTCCTCCTTAAACAACATCTTTCTGATGACTATACCAGCACCTTCAGTTCGGGGTCAGCAATGGAAGCCCCTACACTACTTAGGGATATCCAGACAGGACACCCCTGTCTTCAGGTCCAGGTATTTATAGCCTGTGGAAACCAGCCGGATGACAATGGTTCTTGTCCATCATGTTGGACCACTGGGGAGAACCAATTTCAACGAGGCCTAACGAGGCCTAACGAGGACAAGAGAACGGTGACACAACAGGTCGCTCAGCGGAGTTTGGCCAGTTGAAGCCAATACGACCTTCCAAGCAATGTCACATGTCGGTGGCTGGATGATCCAGGTAATTGACACCTGGGGCAAATGAGGATAAGCAATCCGGATGAAGGACACAGATGGACACCCAGCAGGCGGTTTGCTGACCACCGGATCGTTGGAACGTTTCAGGATCCCTGGTGGGGTCCAAACAGCCCATGGGAAAAGCACATGTCTGTGTAGGCGCCAGCATCCTCACTGCCAGATCACGAGACCAGGCCCTGAATAACCCTCGAACGAGGAGACCTGGCAGGATGCGAACGTAGAAGAGACAAAAAAAACCTCCTTGCCTGCCGCGTTGAACGAATTGCATGCGCGTCATGTCATCGCGCCTCCCTCGCGCCTGCGTCCCATTTATCCATCCTCCCTGTCTAACGGGATGTACCGTCGTGCCCAGGGGGAAAAGATCGTTCCGGTGCAGTTCTACGAGCGACTTGGGCCACACGGACGGGTCGCACCCGTCGCATGGTACGTGCCGTGGTAGATGCCATGGGTGACAAACACCATGGTTCTGTGGGTGCTGAGTGAGGAAAGGCAGGCTGCCAGTAGATGATCACAAATCCTGTGCCCTAGAAGTCCAAATATTTTCGGCACCACCCAAGTAAAGGAAGTTCCTTTTCGGATCACCAAGTCAGACCGTTTTAACACAATGGTCGACTCCCAGGGTGTCTATAGCACGCATGACTCGAAGCAAGCGAGCTTTTGTTGGCACCCCGCGAGTTGGTGGTCTGAAGGTGGGTGATGTTTCTCTCACCGACACGACTGACCAGACCACTGGTTGGTGGATGTTTCTCGTGGGAGTCTCCACATGTCTCAACACCATGTACCAGGACCGAGCTTCCGAACTCGAGGTGTTTACAACTGGTGTACCAGGTGTTGATGGGTGCGACTGCAACTAAGCAGAATCTCCAGAAAAAGAGGCAAATAACCAGAACCGAGCTTCCGAATTCCTTCCGGTGTTGGTAACTCGCCTCGTTCCGAAAGCGGTGAGTCCTCCGGGTGTGCCAAAAAAACACCACCTGTGCGAGTCGGGTCCGTAGAACTCTTTGGTTCTCCTTCGGGTGAAAGAGGCCTCAACGAGTTAAAGGAGCCTTAAGCAACTGGCGCTTCGGAACCAGTTGGTTCGTACACATCTCGGTAGAAATGCACACATTCTTTATGTACTGGGGTTTCTGGACGATGTGAAGGGGAAAGCCAACAAGATAATATGTTGGTCACAGCTTATACCACATGTGGCATGAAATTGTCAGAGGCTGCAAAGGCCTATTTGGGTGGACCCATGTGGCCTTTTTTGGCTCGAGCAATGGTGAGCAAGGCCCGTTTCCTCCATTGAACCGTGCAAGCATGTCCAAATTTAAATAGCAACTTGTTCGCAGTATGCACGGAAGTATCTAAGTATTGGGGTATATTAGGGTTGTCAAGTCAACTATGTTATTTGTTTATATATTTTGACCAGTGCACATTCATCAACATATTAAAAATAAAGGAATTACAGTAAACCATGTATACCAGCTGTTCGAGAGAATCTAGCACTTATAAGGTACAGATAGGTACGGTATAGGATTTCAATTGTTTTGGACGCAGCCATCAAGTTGAACAAGGAGCTCATGGCTGGTCTTGCAGACTAGTGGCCTTACCACCATGTCGACTGATCCACTCTTGGCACCAAGGTCCAGTGTGTCAAGGGTGGTCCATCGAGGATCGCATGAACTTTGGGCGCAATGGCTGGGCAAAGTTCGAGGCATTTTCCTTGGATCTGAACCAGTACCTCAAACAAAGCTTCTGTCAGCAGTTGATTTTGTCATGCCTTACTTGTCTCCCTATGACCAAGATCGTCTTCGCCTGACTTCTCGGCATATTTCAACAGAAGATGATTGGGTGGCAAGGTTGCGAGATGCGGAGTCAACTTTTTATGCTCGCAGACTATCCTTATTCCAAATGTTTCTCCTTGGCTAATATTTTTCTTTGTTGGCATAAAATGTCTTTTTCGCAAACAACCACCAGGTGCTTGGCTTAGGTTCTTTTGCCTTTTTTATGCTTATACCTTTGCTTTCTTGCTCCTCTGGGACTGTTCCTGGCACCGTGAGCTGCGAATTGAGAACGGTTATGGGAACGCAGACTGTTGGTTTATCTTCTGCAAGTTATTTGATCTACAGTTTTCCAAGACACATCGAGTAGGTCTGCATTTCTGGTACTCTGTGAGTTTGTGGACTTGCGCGCTCGCATTTTTCTCTTTGTTGCATCGAGAGACCTCTTGGCAAGCAGCCTGGTGTTTTTGGGTGCTACTTGGTTTGTGCCTGAACTCCATCGTCTTATTCTCGCATGGTTATGCCAGATTCTTAATGAGCTTGCGGTTCGTTGTTATTGCTTCGACATTGTCTATCTTGTGGCATTTGTGGATGAACCCAACTGATGACAGCGCACATACGTTGGGTGGATTCTTCCTGTGGTTTCTCACGATTTGTGTGCATTGTCGTTTGCACTACATAGCTGGCTGGGATGCAGAAGTGGTAATCATCGGATGCCTTTTGTTTTTTGCACTCGTTCTTCAAATGTTCGGATGGAGATTATCTCCAGTAAATTAACCACTTCTCATCCAATGAGGCGGAGGTACTACAGTAGAGGTTTGTATGTGTAAAAGAGGCATTCGATTCTGAATCTCTGAAGGCAGATCAACCGCTGCTGCTTGCCAGTTCGATTCTTTTTTTTACATGTGATTCTGGACAAGTGAAGGGGCATTGCATATGCGCACAGCTTCCGAACGTATTTTCAGACTCAGGCGAACACCAAGCAACCTCACAAGCAAAAACGCCCGCATCAAAACCTGGGGTTAAAATTCAGCCGATTCGCGTATGACTTGTTGGACAATCAACAATGTGTTTGAGATCATGGGACCAATGGGTTTGGGGATTTAGCAGGATGGTTTGGCCAGTCAAAGTGCAACACAGTTTGAGAGTCGGGCTTGTTTTATTTATTATTTGATGCTTCTGTGTTCTGGGGGATTTCATTGGGTCATATAGCCACGAAACGCCACGAAAATCCCCCAAACTTGTCCCGGAAAACGTCCGCCCGTTGAGGTTCTTGGTGTGCTGCCGGCGATTGCAGGACGGGCCGAAGTGGTGCAGAGCTTCCCCGGTTTGGTTGCGTAGCTTGTCCGTAACTTGCATGGGTTTTGGGGGGTCCACCCAAAGTGAACAGGTCGGATTGATTCAGATTCTCAGAGTCCTCCAAGAGTCCCTTGAGAGATTCAAGCGCGAAGAAAGGGTGTGCCCTTTCGTGCGTATGCGGAGCGCCAAGCGCAGCCAGCGGAGATACAGCTGGAGACGTGTTCATGGAATTTGGGCAGAAGGATGAAGCTGTGTCCCTTTTTCCGGGCCACTGTTTTCTGATGTTCTTCTTCACCTGGGGACGTGGGCGGTGCCCTGCGCTTCGTCGCTGCGTGCCATTGGATGGTGATTCGATCTTCGATTCGATGGTCACCCATCCACCGAAGAAGCCGCGCAACCGGTCGATGCGCATTCGGTCGATGGGACTGAAAACAAGAATCATACAGGGTCGCAGCGACCGTTGGCTGTCATCCACCGTTGCCAGTCACTGGACAAGAATGGTGGAAGTTCAAAACAGTTTACTTACATATTAAGAAAAAAACTCATTGGACTAAAGAACTAATGAACCAAACCTGTAACTGATGATACATCCATCACTTGAAGGTTTTGAATCATCGGCAAAGTGGGCGGCAGATCTCTCGCTTCTGCCTGTGGAAAGAGGTGGCAAACCAACATGCTTTGACCACTGTTCCGTGGGCGGATTCAGGTCCCCAAGGTCTAGCTTCTCCACTGTCTCTTGCTGCATCACTTCGGCACACAAATTGTCATTTTCGTTGTCCTGTTGAAGGCAGATCCTGAAGCACAAGTCAGACTGATGAGAAGACAACTGTCCTTCCAATCGCAGAGCTTGAGTTAATTAAATGGCTCTAGAGCTCAGAAAAAAGGTACCAAGCGTTGGCAGATGTTAGCGACATGTCCTTCGTCGAAAAAAAAGAATACACGCGGTACATACTCCGGGGAAAAACAATATAGACGAGAACTCAATTTCAAGTGCGCTTTACCAGTCCCTGGTCCACACTGACACAAACTTTCCACAAACCTGAGTCAGGCGTGTGGCTAACATGGACCATTCCCACTCTCAGTCTATGATCGAGTCTGACACTGGACCAACTGCAATCTGACGTCTAAACTGAACGCAGGCTAACATCGACCGCGTTCGGTAGAGGTCAACATGGGCGCCCGGAGGCACATCGGAGTTTGGTCGGTCAGGTGAGTCTCAACGGTGTCCGCTTCGAAACTAGACTAACATATGCCCCCAAACAATATACCAGGGCCCCCCTAAGGGGTGTCCTGGCTGGACTACCCCACACGAATCCGGCCGAATTCGGCTTCCAGACAGGGCACCCCTTGGAGGGTCCTGGTGTGTGTTGTTTGGCGAACATGTTAGTTTTCACCGGTGTATAAATTGTGATATGCCGCCCCATGTGCTTCTCACAGAAACAAAGGGCAGGGAACGTGTCAGTGATCAGGACATGGTGCTGAACTCAGCCATGGAGGAGTTCGATAATTTGGATGCAGATGAGGAGAAGTGACCAGCCATGTGGGCGTGCAACCTTTTCAGTGCACCTCAATGAAGCACATGTAAGCACCAAACCATATATACAGGGATGACATGTATATATTCAAGTAGGCTGATCGGCCAGCCAATGGCAAAAGGCGGCTAGACTGGTCTATTTTCCAAACCGTCTAAGTTAATAATACACACCTGGATGGTATGAATCCCCAACCACCAAGTGTAGGACCGCCTATAAGCATGAAAGTGCCAGGGCACGTCACTGAGAGGTGTAGCCCGCGGGGTCCACCTGGAAGTTGTAGCCCTTTGCGTCCAAGACCATGACGAGTTGACCTGGTTTTACAGAAAAATACCAGGCTCTCATCAATAAATTGGATGTCTAATTTTTCAGGGTACCTGGAATTCCAAGCAGACACCCCGGGCCACAGCCATTCGCGATCGCCGACCGGACTGCACACCGTGTCGTTGCACAGTGGTCCTCGTGGCGCATAACCGGACCACCAGGAGATCACTCGAATTCGCTGCCACTGAGAGCGGAAGCGACGGGCAAAAAGGGAACTGATGCCAACATCGAAGGCTAGACGTGCAAAACAGAAGCAGATCAACCGCAGTTGTATCGAGTGTCCACATCCAACATGGCCAATCGATAATCCACTCGATAATCCAAACAAAGCCGTGTTTGTAGGCCTCAAGTCCTACTATGTCCTACTGTAGCTGTTCATTGCAGCTGAGTGTGTCTCATAAGCATGGCGCATGCGAGGATGGCATTATTGAGGGCGAAGAACTTCGAGAATTCTGCCGTGGACCCTGGTGGAACCTGCAATGACGCGACCACGTCACTCATGACATGCGAACCACTCATGACTACCAACAGCTACCTATATCCCCAGTCCCATGTCACCTTGGAAACAACCGGCCATTTATGATGGGGACAGTTTCAGATAAAGAATTCACATGAATTCACGACACATCAAAGCATTTTTTCCACTGATGTTCATTAGCATCTGAAGCATCCAAAAGCCAAATCGGATGTCCTGACTTCGACCCTTTCAGTTCGGATCATGCTTTGGGAGAACCCAGAGGGGTCGGTCGACCCGTCCACCGTCGGCCTCCGGGGCTCCGAACGGAGCTGAAGCACCAAAACCCGGATTCTCAGGGCGTTAACAATGCCTTAGGCTTCCAACCACCATTAATTTAATAGGCTTTGCTGAATCAACTGAGGATTTTACACTACAAAAACCAGGTCAACCATTTTTTAAATGGTCGAACGGAAGTCTAGGGAATGCTTAAGGACATGTTCTGGACATGTTAGGGGCACCCTTGATCATGTCGCATTTGGTTAAAGACTTGGAGGACATTTCAGGGTTTGGAGTTTGGGTGAAGAAATGAATCACTCAAGTCTACTGCACCGGGACCGGACCTGACGTTCTTCCATCCACTGGGAGGACCGGACGGGAGCAACCAGGCAAACCCTTGGGCTTCACGCTCTCCAACGATGAATGGGAAGAGCTTCTTGAAGAGCAGGTCCACCGCGACTTATCAGTCGCTCTCGGTCCGGGTCTCTCCTGGCGGTCGCTGTCTCTCGCCGTGCTGGTGGTGTCGAGCAGCTCGTGTCGGAGGGTGATTTGTTGGAGCAGAACAGAACATTTGCGTCGGAAGATCGCAGGTGGACATACCATGAACTCGTACCGACTCGGCATCTGAGGTAAAGGCTCCCAAGATTCGCTCCGCCTTTTTTTGTTTGGACGAACATGCTTTTACCACCTGCCCAGTTTGGCTCAGTGGCAGGACCCTCAGTGTTCAGGGTTTTGACCCTCACAACCAGGGTGAAATGGACCTCCAACATGTAGCAGTTTGAAGGTCCATGAGCCTCTGGGTGGAAGGCATTGTTTTGCACCACTACCATGTTTGAGGGTCGTCACATGCATGATTCTGGAACCGGTCTCGCACGGAGCCTGCGCGCGCACGGACGGCATCGGCGCAGGAGGTCTCCCCAGACGATGACATCGACTTCGAGGGAGCCTGGAACTTTTTGAAAGGCCCAGTGCTTTCATCCTTGTGCGGATTGCTCAACGGTTGGACGGATAGAAGACGGAGCTTCGCTTCGCGCACCGGGCCCATGGGGAATTTATTGGTGGAAACGCCGAATAGAACACGACCTAAGATCTTCCAGCAGGTCACCAGCTAACACTTTGATAGTCTCCAAAAAGCCTCCAGAGGAGACTTCTTGCAGGGTACTGGTATACTGGTGTTCCTGAAGATTCAGGTGCTGCCAGATGTTTCCAGCGACCCTCGGTACGAACCCTTGCTCTGTGCGAAAGAAGAGACCTCGACATCTTCAGGGTTTGAAGCCCATCACTGAAAGGTATTCCAGGAGATCCATGCAGTTACCACTATAGCTGGTAACCAGTGGTTCCAGTTCGACTAACACCATAGACTGAACGAATCCCTGGTTCCTTATATTAACTGGGATCCACCGGGTATTCTTCTATACCAGGACCCTCTAAGGGGTGTCCTGGCTGGACTACCCCACACTACCGGCCTAGGCTTCCAGACAGGGCACCCCGACAGGAGGGTCCTGGTAGGGAGGTGATTTTGTTGGAAAGACCGGTGCGGAGAGGTCGGTCAGTCCAGGTGTGCAGAGGAAGAATGGCTTCACTCAAACGGAGCAGGAGGAGTTGGACGAAGCCTTTCATCGCTTCAGCGATGACACAGGAGTGGGCTACAAGGATTGGATCCTCCTATCAAGGTCTGAACTGGCCCGGATTCTGATAGTAGGGTAATAAATCAAATGACACCAAGACCTTCCAAGCCCGGATTCTGAGCGTGTCTACTAATACAGCCTCGTTTGTTGGACGGTGATATCTTCGGGGTGTCCCAACACCACCGGGCGATTTCCGGTGTCCTGTCCCGAAGCGATTTCGGAACATACTCGATTTGCCACCTCGGGATCAACCTTGGGCGTTTTCCAACCTGTCACAGGGGTTGGGATGGATGGGATTTATTGGCCGTGTTGATCGGAAAAAAGCACAAACAAAAACACTCCCTACCAGTCCAGTTTGAGCCAGTCAAACCTGGTCTCTTTAACCTCGTATTCCGTATGGGTTTTGTATGACGTACTTCCCAGTATTTCATGAGGGTCCAACTGACTTGTACTGAAGAGGACGAGAAAGCCGACGTCGGTGGTTTCAGTAGCATGAAGACATGGCGCCATGGATTCCCAAGAACTGGTGACCTCGAGTTCAGGTGCTGGGATGTCGGAAAACGCAGGCAAAGCACCCCATACACGACCTGCCTGCGCCCCCTGGCACAGTTTCCACTCGGCAGTCCCTTCGCGGGTCGCGGTGGGGCGATGTAACCGATCCCGAACAGGTCTGGTCGACTGGTCGATGGTTTGGTCGTCACCACATGGGAGCTCGGCCCTTGCCATCCAACGTCACCGGAGCTCGGCTTTGCGGGCGTTGGGAACCAGGTCGTCCATGGCGGTTCGAAGGGTCTAGTCGTGAAGTGATGGTTCGAACGAAGTCACAGCAGAGACCACAGAGCGCAAGCACCGATGGACATGCATGGACATGCATGGACCAGGTGTGACTGGTGTCGACGTTCTTGTTCAAATGTTTTATTCAATATCATGATAGGTGTCGCAATCACCCCAAGAATCAAGCTGCTAGCTAACAAGCAATCAGCTCAAAACCACATCCGCATATAGTTTTTGAGCCATGACAACGACAATTTCAGTGCTGGAGGTGAGTGGTGAAATGCTCACGCTTGAAGTCACGCCAGAGACAACAGGCCGCAAGCTCAAGCAACAAATTAAGCGAGGACAGCCTTGGGACGAGCTCACTCGCAGCACTACAGTTGTAGAGATTATCGTGGGAGGCAACCGATTGCTGGCCAATGATGCAAAGGTATTGGAAGCTGGAACTGCTGAAGATCCTGTTGTGAGTGTTGTCTTCAAACCAAACAAAGTGATATGCTCCAACCAAGATGCGATCGCCAGGCTTGGCGGCATTGTTGACTTTAAACTGCTTCTTGTGGTTGAAATACCAGATAGTGAAACACAGATTTGTGCGTTCGCTTTTGACGGTTGCCGCACATTGGCCAAGTTGACCATCCCGGACTCAGTGACCCACATTGGGTTTGCGGCCTTTCGTAATTGCAATTCTTTGGCAAATTTGACAATCCCGGACTCTGTGACCCACATTGGGAATAGTGCCTTTCAAGATTGCAACTCTTTGGCAAGCTTGACCATCCCAAACTCTGTGACCCAGATCGGGAAATATGCCTTTTCTCATTGCAGCTCTTTGGCGAGCTTGACCATCCCGGACTCAGTGACCCACATTGCGGATTGTGCCTTTGCAGGTTGCAGATCCTTGACAGATTTGATCATCTCGAACTCAGTGACCCACATTGGGAACTATGCTTTTGACGGTTGCAAGTCTTTGGCAAACTTGACGATCCCAGACTCGGTGACCCACATTGGAGATGGTGCCTTTCACAGTTGCAGATCTTTGGTGAACTTGACCATCCCGGACTCCGTGACCCACATTGGGCACGGTGCCTTTGAGGGTTGCACGTCTTTGGTGTGGTTTTCGTCTCCATCGAGAGGTGCTGAAGAAAGCGGTGCCAAAGAGCCATAGCCAAGAGTGACTTGGGAGCCAGGTGCCTGGGTTGCAGCTTGAGAGTGGTTTCTGTCGAATGCCAAGTCCCAGCTCCCAGAGACTCCATGGGACTGGCATATTTACCGATCAGTTGGGGTGGTTTGGGGGGTCAATGGGGCGGCATATATGGCATACATGGAGTGTCTGGGGCTGGTTTCCAGTCCCGGCTGGCTGCACCTGGAACTCACGGTTTCCACTCACATCGCCTCGACAGATCGCTCGACAGATCCACCAAGGTGAGTCGTGAGACCGAGGTGAAGGCGTCAGGCGCCATCCTTTAAAAAGACGGGATCTCGTTGGCATGGAAGACACACTCAACCATATGGTTTTCCCATGTTTGTCCAGGAACCGACGAGATTTTGACCGGCTGAAGTAAAGGAAGTTCTTGGACTCAGGTCCCCTAAAGACCATTCTTTTTATAGTCTTTGACTCCCAGGGGTTTTGGTTTGTTTGTACTTTTTGGTGTCCGGTCGAAGGGAAGCTGATTCAGTGCCCGCCAACTTGGGCCCCAGGAGCAGGACATCATCCAATTTCGAAGAATCCCATATACTTTGGAATATTCTGAGTTGTTACCTAGAGGTGGATTGGTGTTTGAGTGTTTCTCAACGTATTTTTTCTGACCAAAGCTGGAACAGCTGCATGGCATTGAGAAACAACTCAAAGTCGATGATCATCAACTCCTTTGCGTTGCCAAATATGACCACCAAACTCACCACCCAAAACCTCCAGTCATGTCGGCCATATGTTTTTTTTGCGCCACCCAGACGCTCCTGGACCCTCATATGGAGGGGGTCCAGACCCTCAAAACCCTATGGTTTTGAGGGACCCAGGGCTGTGAACGGAGCGTCTGGACCCTTTGGGAGTTTGAGCTTCGATATTCCAGTGTCATGTCAACTCGCGCCCTGCTTTCATCGATGTCGCCGAACGTGACGTCGCCGCATCGCTTCGGTTTCTTTGGACGTGACGTTCAATTCGACCACTTGTCGCGAGAGCGGCCACACCTGGCCCAAAGCTTGGAGATCACAACAAGAACTATATCTCTAGGGCTCCAACCATCTCTTCAGGTGGTTAGACCCCAAAATCCACCCTAACCACCTTCTCAGGAGGTAGTTGGAGCCCTATAGGGTATATACACACTGATACAATCCCACCCAAAAATGGAGACATCCCGACCCCAATTCTCCCCCAGCTTCGAGCGATACATCCAATTCGCGACCTGTTTGGAGTCCCTAGTTTATAACCTTTTGCACCGCAAAAAATGGCTGTAAAGAATTCTGCTGAGATTCCGATGACAACTGACAACACTCCAGAGGATGTTGGCCATGGCGACCGTTTCTGATCGGAGAACCGTCCATAACTTGGCGATGAATGAGTTCGTCGTCGTCACTAGTTCGTCAGTTTTTGCGATCGTCGTCACGTGTGTGACAGGAATTGGAAATCACTCCATATCACGTGGCCTTTCCAATTGCGAAGCCAATGATTTTCGGGTTCGTGCCACATGGTGCCAGTGAGCAACCAGACAGAATTGTCTTCATGAGAATAAGCTCAAATCCAAATCTGTAGTTTTTGAGCCATGGCAAAGAGAATATCAGCGCTGCAACCGAGTGGTTGAAGTCATAGTTCTTGAAGTCACACCAGAGATGACAGGCTGGGCGCTCAAGCAGCAGATCAAGGAGGGAAAGCTTTGGGACCGGTTTGCTCGCAGCACTACAAGTGTGGAAGTCATTATCGGAGACCATCAATTGCTGGCCAATGCAAATTGTATTGGATGCTGGAATTGCTAAAGATGCTGTTGTGAGTGTGGTCTTCAAGCCTAACAAAGTGATTTGCTGCAACATAGATGCGATCACACGTCTTGGTGGCCACCTTGACTCGAAACTTTTGCTTGAGGTCGAAATTCCAAGCACATGCACACAAATTCTTGCAAATGCTTTCAAAGATTGCCACAGGTTGACCATGGTGCATGGTGCATTTCAGGGTTGCCGCTCCTTGGTGAACTTGACCATCCCAAATTCTGTCACCTACATTGAAGATTGTGCGTTCCAGTGCTGCAGCTGCTTGGCGAACTTGACCATCGAAAACTCTGTGACCCGTATCGGGCGTTGTACATTTTTGTCTTGCAGCTCTTTGGTGAATGTGACCATCCCAGACTCAGTGACCCACATCGAGGTTGGTGCCTTCAAGAATTGCAGCTCCTTGGCAAATGTGACCATCCCGGACTCTGTGACCCGCATCGACCCTGCTGCCTTTGACAGTTGCAAATCTATCGATGGCAGAAGAGCGGACTGGTTGAACCTCGGGCTGCCTTTACCACGGCCTTTGCCGCGACCTTTGCATCTGCAGGTTCCGGAGGTCCCCGCCGTTCGGGCTAGGCGACTGCCGGTCGCCCTCCTGGAAGTTGCGCTTCTGGGATGAAGCCGCGTCGTTTGATCACGCGTGCCGAGTGAAAAAGTGAGGCCATCCTAAACAACCTGGAGCCAGGCATGAAAGACACACCAACTAGGCCCACGAATGCACTATATAGGCTATAGACCAGGTTTGCAGCGTCCCTCCCACTTCGGGACCACCAAATCATCCAAACCTATAGAACCAGGAAGGTGTTTCGAACATCATATACAGGTCTTTACAGCTTGGCAGTCATGAAATTTATACTATTCCCTAAGAATCAAGGACCCTCAAAGTTGAAGGTTTTGAGAATCCAAGCCCCTGCGTTCTGCAGGGTCAAAACCCTCCAGTTCGGAAGGGTTACATGAATTCATGCCTGAGAAGGTGTTTGGGGTGGGTTTGCAGGGTCCACATACTGAGGAGGTACGACTGGAGGTGTAGGGTTCATGCCTGGTTGAGTTTGACCGCAGACGGGATTGCCTTCGAGTCCTTTGGATTGGACGAGCTCCACGAGCGGTTCATCGGGCCTGGTCGTCCCAAAACACGGGTCAAAATGATGAGAACCACGCTGGTCGCCAGACCTCCAGAAACCCAGTTGCACACGACGCACCGAACACTAAATTCCTCAGAAGCCCCCAGTTGCGGTCCGCCTCTTCCGGAAGGAGAACTGCAGAACTTGAAGGTCCAGGATCTCTTGACCTACATCGGCCCCTCGGACGACCACAGCGAAGCAGACGCGCGAACCGAGCACCGAAGCGACCGGAGAACCGAACCGAGCCGAGCGGTGGAACGAAGATGCCGCCACGTGGCGGTCCCGGCCTGGTGCGGGTTTCGCGCCTATGGGCGCGCAGCCTGTGGTGGTCAAACCGCGGTGCGGTTCGGAGTCACTTCGTGGAACGTCCTGGAGACCGTAGGAGACCGGAGACCGTAAGGGGTTCCTTCGGTCGAAGGCGACACCCAGACATGACCCGGATGAGGGTGGTCGAAGGAGTTCGGGTCTCCTGAACAGTCCACACCATGTTTTCTGTGCCTTTTTCCTCGCAGCTTCTTTCCGCGGGTGTCGCGTACGTGTCGCGTACGGTGTCGCGGGCGGGTCGCGGAAGGAGTGGAAGGCGTTTCGCGCTGGGTGGGATGGACCCGAGGCTTCCAAACCAGCGTGGAAGATGTGCAGTCCATGGTGAGGCGAGATCCGCCTGCCGCAGAGCATTTTGGTGGTTCGAACCTGAGCAAAAATATGCCCTGAGCAGTAGCAAGTCTAGCACAACAGAATCATAATATATCCATGAGAGGAATATTTGGCCTGGTTTTGAGATGTTTTAAGGGTCAGGTAAATATTTACAATTGTTAGATATTGTGTTAGTAGGCAATAGTAGTGCTATAGTACTATAGCAGCTGTAGACCTTCGACCTGCTCAGCCGAGTCAGGCGGGTGGATTTCAACTCCAACAAGACCATGGACAAGGACGAGTTCCTGCGGCTCATGCGACTCGGGCTTCTGAGTAGTCCGCCCTATGTGGGTGGGTGGATGGCCCCATGCTGGTGTCTAAGAAACCTGAGGACTTGGAGTGGAGTGTTCGGAGCGGAGAAAACCGCGTGGTGGTGTCTAGGTGGGCTGCTTGGGGCAGCAGATATAGATTGGAGGCTTTGAATCTGTTGGACATTTTGACTTCACCGTGGTTGGTGTGACCTTTGATGGGTATAGGAGCTTGTTGGTCTGCATGGAGTAGAACCTGTAGATTTTTCAACTACCAGGACCTTCCAACAGGTGGTTTTTTGGACACCTCGAATCACCTCTAAGAGGCCTTGTATAGACACCTCGATTGGAAGGTCCTGGTATATATGCAACATGTCTGCCGAACTTCTCCTTCCATTCAGAGAAGTTCTTTCGGTTGACTTGAACCACTCCACCCACTGTGACTCGATCGTGATCTTAATCGGAAAGGTACCGTGCAGAGTTCCTTACTTATCGCTCACTCCAAGCACCGAAGTCGGCCTCCTTCTCTCCTCGCTCGTCTGACCCCCCCTGGCACCACCCCAATGTAGGCATATATGGCAGTCCCATGGAGCGTCTGGGTCATGAATTCTCCTCCCACTCCTTCTCCAGCTATCTCTCCCTCTCATCCCACCACCGAAAGAAAAAGCAACAAACGCTCAGCATCCCCCAGCCCAGCCGCCTATCAGCCCACAGGCGCTTGCAACGTGAAACCACGCTGGGCTCCTACACCGCGGCCTACACCAAGAACCGCCTCTACGCCCGCAACGCGGCGCCCCCCGCAGAGATCCAACGCGTCTTGGAGGCGCCTTTCGCACCGGCGCAGCGCCGGACACGGTCGGTCGAAGTGTCTCCCTGGATTGAAGGGATTGAAGGGTAGAAAAGGGGTGTGGGGGGTGTCCGAGCTCCTGAAAGAGGTGAGTGATGAAAGGGGTATCCATTCACCACCCCTGGCACAGGGGGTCTTGGTAGCAATATATACCTGCTTCCAAGGGGTTACCAATGGACATTTTCAGACTACTTATAGGTCTCCATTGGGCACCTCTTGGAAGTGCTAGGTAGTAAAACTATAGGATAAAACTAAGCTATCCAGGACCTTCAAAGTGACCTAATTTGATATCCCAGGATGAGGTCAGTTAAGCACGTAAAAGGTCACTTAGACACTCCAAAGAGGCCACTTTTAATGTCCTGGATTATAATTTGATTAAGACATTGTAATAAGTATTGACCAAAGATGACCGAAGTCCTTGAATGAATGGTCTTTGTCCAGACACTCGCATGGGACTGTCATATACCTGGATCTTCCAACGACATGCCAGCCTGGCAGAAACCAGGAAGAACAGCGTCCGGACAGGTCGTGTCAGGGGGTTGAAAGCAGGCATGAAGGATGGCAGGTTTGGTCCTGCGAATTTGTGGACGTCACAGGACCGACCCTGCAAATTTGCAGGTCTGCAAATGAGAGTTTCGCAAAACTTGTCGGGCAGTTATTTTTCTATTTTGCAGTTTCGTGATGAGGATACTTGGTGCTTTCTCTTAAAACGTGCGTTAATATCAGGCATACAAATGTCATTTTTTGCCATTCAGCACCTCCAGCTGCTGGGCAGGCAGAGTCATAGGCCACTGATCGAGCAGACCAGTTTTGTTTGAACAATGGAGTGAACATCGGTTGTGTTTTATCCAAAGCCCAGACATGCCCAAACACTCCATGTGTGGAACACTTACTCACAATAGGGTCATTTTCGTGGGGTACATCGTTTGCAAGAACAAATCCAGCCGCTTTCTTGTCAGCGTGTATCACTGGGGAGAAAATCCACTCTTCTTGCCCAAAGACTCAGAAAGGCCCATGTCCGTAGACCCCCAAATAGATATAAGATGATATAAGAACAGTATATAGATCCCTACCTAGAAATGGTCTTGGATAGATAGCCACTCTCTATTTGATAGCCATTTCAGGCCAATGTCCGATCCTCACGGCCCCACACCGAACCGACGTGTTCACGTGCAGGTGGCGGGGCACCGGCCGAATGTGTTGATCCTAAACCAAGCGCTGCAGCTGGTGGAGGACAGCAGCTGAGAGCAGCAGCTTGCTGAGAGCAGCAGCTTGCTGTGCTTGCATGTTCCGAAAACAGAGGGTTGCTTGCTGTGCTTGCTGTGTGTGCTCTTCTTATTGAACATGAAGAGGGTGTCGATTTTGCAGGTCGGCACCCGAGTCCTCTCGCCCCGGTCGCTGGGTCGACCTGCGTCTCTTTCTTCCAAACCCAATCGGGTCAGAGACGACGGGGGAGGGTTGCTCGCCCAGGTCTTGAGGTAGTTATACCGAGTAGTATGCCGCAGATCCACATGACCTCCCAACATGAGGTGGGGAGCGAACCCGAACGTTCGACTATCCCAGGAACGGGTACCCCAGGTGACGGGTCCTAGTGACCTGGTCACTGGCTACCTCTCTTGGTCTCTGGAAGCAACAAGACGAAAGACAACACCCCCCTGATGCACAACCAACTCCCTGACCGATCGCTTTTTGCTGCCAGTCCCAGGTCGTGTTCTGGTCCTTCCCATCAATATCACCACGCCAGTCCAAGGTCAATGACCAAAATGAATGGCTGGAGCTAGTCATACAACACCATACTCAAGGAGGTCAAAGACCCCAGTTTTACCGGGTCAAACTGGACTTGTACATGATGAGATCAACCGAACACATCCCGCTCGTCCAGGACTCCGGTGATTACGACCAGGAGATCCCCGGCGGTCGGGACGCTGCGCCCGCCCGAAGTTCCAGGAGAGCAGAAACCCCACCAACCATGAGAGGTTAAGTGACTTGAACTAGGACCCGTCACCTGGGGTACCGAACTGGGATAGTCTATAGGGTCATTCAACCTCTGTTGGAAGATGACCCATGGATCCTGACTTCCCAGCATGAGGTGGGTCAGAACCCGAACGAACTCGACTCTCCGAACAAACTCGGTACCCCTGGTAGTTCCGGGTCCGACTCGTGACCTGGTCACGAAAACTACCGTAGGTCACAGGTGTTTCCTGGCGTTCGTCCGGTGCCCAGGTTCACCATCCCAAAGCAGCCGAACCTCGGAGGGTCCTGGTATATAGGCCGAAAAAGGACATATGACTTTGGACGTGTGAAAACCATGTTTGTTTGCGGAACACCTGGGTTTTTGATGGGCCATTTGGGGCCCCTGGTAGTCATATAGGTCACCATAGGTCTCTCAATGTTGATTCGATTGCAGACCCATCTTCCAGCACTCAACGTTCAACAGGTCAAGGATGCCACAGAAGTCTGCCACGTTCGACGTCTCCAGCCTCCGGAAGGGACCTGTGAGCGTGGACTGGTCCAGTCCGGACATGAGCAGAGGCTTTGCTCAGTGGCGGTTTGGAGCGGTTTGGTCACCACATGGAAGAAGTTGACCCCTATTTCTGCAGGAGGTGCTATATGGATCTTGGTCCAGAAACTGCTGATTGAGAAGCCATGTACCGGATGTCGTCCTCGTCCGAATGGACATAGGCCAAGTTTCGGAGCTGCACAGCATTCGGAAGACTTCGGACGTCATTTGCATGGAGAGGTGGGAAGTTGGAAGTGGATGAACACGTAGCCGTCCGCGTCAGCCGCCATGGTCAGCTGATTGGATCATATATGTCTGGAAGGTGATCAGCTGAAAGTGGAATCCTCTACCAGCACCTTCCCTGCCAGGAGTCCGAAATGGAGGGTTGCTATAGGCCCTAACAGGTTTCAATTGGTGACCTGGCAGTGAGGTGCTGGTATAGCCCAAGATAGTCCAAAATCGCATGCTCAATGCTCAAGCAGCCGCCTGACTTCCCCTGAAAGATGCGAAAGAGGCATCGTGCCTGAGGCATCTCTTCAAACTCTGCTCTGGGTTCTGCTTGACTTGATGAAAAACCGACCTCCAATTGGGAAGAATTATCAAGAATCCTTTCCTTCCAAACTGAGTCTTGACTTGCATGAGAGATTCAGGAGAAACACGCCAGGGTGAGATCCAGAATCTCCGTCCGGATCTGCTGTCGCACCTACAACATCTACCAGGACCCTCCCTCCCTGGCAGGCGTTTTTTCTTTATGGAGGCTGAACCATGGAGACTTGAACGTCGTAGGTGGTGACCTGGCAGCTTAGAGGGTCCTGGTCAGTGTCTCTTCGGCCGCCTGATCGGCCGGACGATCTCGCTGGCTTCTTCGTTTTCTCGGATGCCCGTGCAATGCCCACCGCAGACGCGCCATGGAGGTGACCATTCATGTGCATCAACTTCATGTGCAAATGCCAGTCAAAGACTAATTAGTGAGTCTAAGTGAGTCTATCAGAAAGGAGGGCTGGTCCTGCTGAATCTCTGGATCACCAAAACTTGAATTCACTCTGCTTGGAGCAAGAACAAGTGGTGTTTGTTTCACTCATCATCTTCAGGTCCGCTCCGTGTTTCACCACAGCCCCACTGGTCCTAAAGCTTCTCTTCAGACCGGTCGGATCTGAAGGTGGACGGACGCCAGGAGCAGCCGTCGCTCTCCTTCGAGGGATTTCTGAAGGCACGAGCCGAGCAGAGCAGAGCCGAGGTGCATGGGATCCAAGAGAGGTGCCCAGAGACCAGGTCATACCAGGTCACGAGTCGGACCTGTCACCTGGGGTACCTATATAGTCTACCAGCACCACCCAGGTCGGATGGTTTATAGAATTTTCCGAAGATGTATTTGTCATCCAATAGCCACCCGCACTGGGTTGGTGCTGGTATAGGGTTCTGACCCACCTCTGGATTCCCGGAAACTGCGGAGGTGTCACCGGCCTCGGTCCGTGGCAGGTTCCGAACCGAACCCGAGGGGGTTCGTTGTTGGGGGTCGGTCTCCCATGTCTTGAGCTGCATATACGCTCGCTCCGGTGAGCGCACCAGCCTGGCCATCCAGTTGCGCCCATCACCCCAGTCATTCACCAGTCATGTAGGCCACAAGTTGTGCCACCGGGACCGAGCGTTTACATATTGGTACCCATGCCAGCACCCGACTCTACAGGTGCTTCCTGTGTTTCCAAGTCCGGTGCCCAGGTTCACCACCTGTTATAGGGTCTCCAAAGAACCTGGCCAGGAAGGTGCTGATGTATAATTAACCCTAACAGTCCAAATGACTCATTTTACCCCTATGGTAGTGGTGGATTATGACTACTGGGTGGAGTAAAATGAGTCATTGGAAGTCCTGGGTAAGGTACAGCTTTTTGGTCTACCAGGACCCTGTCAGCAGTCCCATGAGTCGTGTTTGACTCTGGTGTCGATGCGCGTCCACTCGGGCCAGGTGGCGGATTTCTGCCGGAAGACCATCCCGCAGGAGAACCGGAAATTCGCGCACTTCACCCTGCAGGCAGCGTGGGAACGTGATCGGGGGAGAAACCGGCGTTAGATCGCGTGATCGCGCGTTAGATCGCGCTCGCCGCTCCACGCGTTTGGTGACACCGGTGTCTTTCTCGCTCGGGTGAAAGGACGCGGCGGTGGAGGACCCCCAACCTCATGGCGAAGGTTCGGTGGACTCCGCTCAACCAAGAGAGGTAGCCAGTGACCAGGTCACGGATCGAGGAACACCTGGGGTACCGGTTCCTGGGATAGTCGAACGTTCGGGTTCGCTCCCCACCTCTGTTGGATGTCTGAACGATGTGGCCCAGATCGCACAGATCTGGACCCTCCGTGAAAAGCAAGGGTCAGATGTCCCACGCTCGCTCGCCAACCGCACGGTGCCGGTACCGCATGGCGTTTTTTGTGGTGCGAAACGCTGCGGTGTGTGGTGCGAAAGGGCGGCCGGGTGAAGTAGTGAGTCGGGTGAAGTAGTGCTGTCATGGGCTTTCTGCCATAGGACCGCCCCAGAAAGGCCCCGATAGGCACCACCACCCCTGGCCTTGAAACTCGGCAGTCCTAGTATGGCAGTCCCATGGAGTGTTTGGGTAAGGGCGGGAACCTGTCCAAGGTGTCTGTCGTGGCACTCGGTCTTCTCACGTCTCAGACGCCGACCTTCGCTGTCCGTCAGAGGTGAGGGACCCTTTTTGGTGCTTCAAAATTCAACAAACACATACAAACACCGTAAACCGTCACACAGGGCCTTCCAAGGGGCTGGTTTGGGACCCTAACACCGATTCGGTGGTCAACAGGCAATACGTTTAGCCAGGCATCCAGAGGCTGTTTTTGGGGGGTACCCAACCACAGGTGCTTTTTCCTGTACACACCGGTTCCGACCGATCCGGGTCCATGGGCTCCGCCCGGTCGAAGCGTTTTCGTCGAATCCGGCTCAGGAGATCGAGGATCTGCGACGGTCCTTTGAATCGCATGATGCCGAAAGGCTCCGGGGGTCTGGTGGCGGTCGGGACTGAGGAAGACAACTAAACGCGGCCCGCCGTGTTTTTGTTTAACCGGCAGTATGTTCAAGGCCGCCGACGCTGACGATGCGATTGATGTGCCTTTGATGACTGTGTCAAAGGTAGCACACGCACGCAGGAAGTTCAGTTGCATCAGGGACGTTTGTTGGAGAAGGACATCCAGACCTCCTCAAAAGAGAGTCCTTTACAATATTAATGGGCTTTTAAACACAGGAAGACCAATAAAACAATATTTATCAACCCAGACGCTCCAAACAGCCCTTGGTCCCTCAAAACCTAGGGACTTGAGACCCCAGACCCCTCCATACCTAGATCCTCCAACTCAAATTTCTGTTTTTTGGCTGGTTTTATAGATGGAAAAGCATCAATTTGACACCGTTGGAAGATCCAGGTATGAGGGTCCGACCCCTCCATCTTTCGGGCCCAGGGTCGCGTCTGGGAATAATCGAATTTGTACTTTGTCATGAAGTCACAAAGGGGTGCATTGTAAGCATTCCATCACAGACCACCGACATCGACCTTCTTCACCGATACACTCCCGAGTGCGCTCCCGAACTGCCACCCGGCCACCCGAACCCTGCTTCGTACTCAGTTGGAAAGCGTTATCACCTGTTGAAGTCGTAGAAATCCACTTGGTGTTTTCGATGTTTTGATCACCAACCCAGACGCTCCAAACAGCCCGACTGGTCTCTCAAAACCTAAGTATTGGTTCGACCCCTGACCCCTGACCCGAGGATTCGGGTCCGACCCCTCCATAGGTTCGGGCCCAGGGTCGCGTCTGGGAAGTCCACTTTTCCCACTGCCTTTCATGTCCTTGACACGAGCTCCACCGAGCCACAAGCCGCCGCGGGCCACGGCACGGACGTGAGTTCGGCAGGAAGGGCGCCATCTCCATGGGTAGCTTTCTATGGCTTCTGAGCGATACCGACCTCCAAGTGAACACCGTCAACGGCCGCGCGCGCACGCGACTGGGCGCAGGGCTGGCGGAGGAACGTGAGGTGGTCCGTGAGGGTGGGAGGCGCGGGTCTTCGAAAACCATCATGCAGGCACGATCTGGAACTGGTGATGCTCCAAGTCAGTGAGCTGCACGACCCTACTTGTGATCGGGTTTTTCGTGCCAGTTTGGAGAGTCAAGTCTGGTGGGACCGAATTCTGACCCATCGATCGATCTTCTTCCCGGTTTCCCGGATGGAACTGCCCGAACCGCTGCGACGCGACCGCAGTGTTGGTGACTGCAGCCCTCGGTAGCTTGAAGGACCGATCACTTCGGGTGCAGGATGGTTGAGGCGTTTCGACGTCTTTATTTTTGTTGTCCCCAGACGCTCCGAATTCACGACGCCCTTTCCTGGTCCCGAACCAAACCGGTCCAGGAGCTGGGTCCAAAACATGTCCTGCTGGGCCACTGGCTTTGTGCTCGACATTGGTCCTTGTGAGGTTGACTTTGGACACGGTCTTGAAACCCTTCGGCGCGAGGTATCGGCTCCGTGCTCCACCAACGCCACGGCGCTGTGCCGCACCGCGCCGAGGTATGAGCAGCTGGAAAGAGCACGGGAGGCGCAGGGAGACTTGACCTGCGACTTGGACCAGCTGGGGTAGGCGGGGACATCTTTTCTTCATACCTATAGCACTTCCTGTTTGGGTGCCTGGAGACATAGGTTAGAGTAGTCTATTGGACACCCAGACAGGATGATCCTGGTACCAGTGTGCTTCAAAGTGGCCGTGGCCATACCAGCGGGGGGGCAGCCGGACTTCGGTTGGTAGCAGAATGCCTGGTATCTTTTTGGAGGTCTTGGAGGGTGCCTGAACAAGTCCAGCAGTGAGTCCTCATTATTATGGATGCTGGACATATTCCTGATACCAGGATCATCCTGTTCAGGTCAGGTGTCCTGGCTGCAGGTCCACCAGTATAGTGTAGGGTAGTCCAGCCAGGTCATCCAGAACGGACGATTTAGAACTATAAAACGCGAGTCAAGAGTATACCAAGAGAGGTCGAGAGACCTTATAGGACCCTGTAGTGGTACATATGGGATGAGCTATGGGGCTCTTCAACCTCTCTAGGTATTTGGATATTGGCATTACCCAAAGTTTTCCAGGAATTCCAGACATCGGATCACAAAATCAGACCAGTTGGGTTCAAGAACGGAGTTGAGACCCCAGACACCCCGTCCGATGACTGAGTCCCGCAGGCTGCCCTGGAGGCTGGTGTGCCCAAAGCCGAGGCGGGCGGGCGGTTTCATCCGACACTCCGCTGAAAAGGAGCATGTGCCCAGACGCGACCCTGGGCCCGAACCTATGGAGGGGTCGGACCCGAATCCTCGGGTCAGGGGGCTGGGGTTTCTCACCAATCCCTATAGGTTTTGAGGGACCAAAAGGGCGTCGTTCACGCAGCGTCTGGGTGGAAAGAGGTGAAGTTGGATTAATCTATAATACCCAGTCGACGCTCCGTCGTTCACGACCTTTCCTGCTCCCTTGATACACCTAGGGATTGGTGAAAAAACCCAGACCCCTGGAAATATGAGGGTCCGTGAGCGTTTGGGTATATCTTAAGTTTCACCTGTAGAAGTGCGATGAGTGGGCGCCTTGGATGAGCAACACCAGTCTCAAAAGACCGGCCGGAGCGTCATGGGAAATGTCCAACAGGGGGTCAACCCTTGCGGCCGGGAGCTTTGGGGGAACCCCGAATTCATGAGCCGCAGCCGGCGGCCCGAAAGAGGTCCGTTGCGTCCGACCTGACCCACCCCCCCAAAAAAAGAATCCAGATGGACGGGATGAAAGCCGGAAAAAGAAGGACGGCCCAAAGATACTACCCTCAACCCAAAAAACATCTCCGGCTGATCCTGCCAGCGACATATCTATACCCTAGACTTCCAAGACCAGTAAAACAATGGTTGACTTGGTTTTTGTAGTGTAAAATCCTTAGTTGATTGGGTAACACCTATTAAATTAATGGTGTTTGTTGGAAGCCTAGGGTATAGCGGGTGGGATGGGACTTTTTCGTTCGGATCGCTGACCGAGCGCTGGAGAGTTCACCGAGCGGCTTTGAGGTTGGAGGACTGAGTAGCCCTCGAGTGCGCTTCATGCCTGTGGTGGGAGTGGCCCAGTGAGCAGCGGGTTGGAGTGTGGGTGAGCGGAGCCTTGCGGTGGACGCATTGGAACGAGGGTCGTGGCGGGCCACTGTTTGGGCGGCTCCAATCCCAAAAAGACTGGCTCCGGAGTGATTGGGTAGCCCTGCATCGACAAGCTGGTCTAGAAAAAGGCCAACAGAACTGGAAACCATCCGGCCGGTCCCATGGATGGTCTGGGTGTTCTCTTCCTCGGTGCCTGGCGGGGCGCGGGTGCCTCAGGTGCACTTTGTCTACGAGACGGTGAAGAACCATCACGATTCGGCCGGGACGCCGACGTGGTGTCGGCGCCAACAGACTGGGTAGGCAGTTGACGTAAGCACCTGGACCCTCCAAAGTACCGAAAATGGGACATGACCCCATAAAAACAGGTACTTGTACCCATTTTGCGAGGTACAAACTGAGACTCCAGGCAGTTGACATAAGTGCTGGAGACCGGCTAGAGGTCTGGTACCATGCGCTTGGGAGTTATTAGGCTCGCTTGCGTCTGGTACTTGGAGGTTTTGGGGTCCATGAGTGGTCGAACGTGGAGCTGGTGACCATTCCCAGACACGACACCCATGGGACTGCCATAGGACTGCCGATCAGTTAGGGTGGTGCCAGGGGGGTCAATGTACCTGAGCGAATTATTGCGAGCTCACTTGGCGAGGTACGAGGTACAGTAATTTCAAAACGAAATTATGCGAGGTAAGTCCAGCACCAGGACTCCAGACTCCACCAAGCCAAGCAGCCTTCTTGACGTCTCAGGCCCTAGCCAGGCCTACTGGGTAAGGAACGTATGCTGAGCAGCTCAAATAGTCAAGCCCCAAGAAACAGCCCTATTTTGGCGAAATAGGATTTCACGATTGGGGATTGGTTTGCAGCCTTGTTGATGTTGTCTTAAGCCCTGGCCAGCCCCACTAGGTCAGGAAACTGTGCTGAACAGCTCAAACAGGCAAGCCCCATGAAACAACCCTATTTCGGCGAAATAGGGCTTCAGGACTGTGGATTGGTTTGCGGCCTTGTTGATGTTGTTTTGGGCCCTAGCCAGCCCCACTAGGTCAGGAAACTGTGCTGAACAGCTCAAGTAGGCAAGCCCCATGAAAAAGCCCTATTTTGGCGAAATAGGGTTTCAGGACTGTGGATTGGTTTCCACCCTTGTTGATGTTGTCTCGGGCCCTAGCCAGCCCCGCTAGGTCAGGAGACCATGCTGAGCAGCTCAAATGGGAAAGTGCCATGAAAAATTCCGACTTTGGCGAAAAAGGAGTGTCATGATCATGGATCGGTCGGTAAGGAAACGCTCTTCTCACTTAAGCACTCCCGACCCGCGCACAACGCACACATGCGCGCGCACACGCACTCGTGGGAAAAGAGAAAAAGCTTCCAAAGCTTTCAGAGGCAGGGGTCGAACTCGAGCGTTGCGCTTCGAAGCCCGGAGTGTATCCAACTACGCCGCTGGCGCGTTGATTTATTAGATTGGGTCACTAATTAGAGGCTTTAAAACAAAGCCTTTTGGGCAAAAATTGGGCTTCACAACGGTTGATTGGCTCGCTACCGTTTTGGCCTGGTTTCCCGGCCTACCAAAGCCTAGTAAGTAAGGATCCTGAGCCGAGCAGCCCTAAAAGGCAAGCCCCCTGAAACGACCCTATTTCGGCGAAATAGGGTTTCACGACTGTGGATTGGTTTCCAGCCTTGTTGATGTTGTCTCGGGCCCTAGCCAGCCCCACTAGGTATGGAAACTGTGCTGAACAGCTCAAACAGGCAAGCCCCATGAAACAACCCTATTTCGGCGAAATAGGGTTTCACGACTGTGGATTGGTTTGCGGCCTTGTTGATGTTGTCTC